CCCCTGGCTAAGTAATCCAGTTCTAGTGGTTCCAAAGAAGATGGTGATTGGATCAAGGGCAATAGCTCGTTGGACTGCTCTACCTATTCAAGCCTTGACTTGCGCCAGCAAGCAAAGGCCTAACGTCAGGCATTAGACAACTCGGGGTCAACCTACGTGCAAGCCACTAAGCCAAAAGGCTCGCCCTCAACCGTTAGATTTCCAACAGTCCTTTCATCTAGACTGTTGAATTTCTAATATTAAAAAGAAAATTAAAATTATAGGTTGTGCTACGTTGCACAATATGATGCATCTAATTTATAAAAAGAAATGGTTAATCAACGGCCTGGATTAATTTGAAGGTAAAAAAAATACCAAAAATTCTAAAATAATACAATTTTTTTAACAACACACTTGACAAACTTACAAAGTTCAACCATCTTCTTCATTCGCTTTTTATTTAATTAATTATGCTTATTTGTAATGCTATGCTTTGATTTCTATTTGAAGTTAAATTATTGAAGTTAAAAACGGAATTTTATTTTCAAAGAACAAACTTACTAAGGCCATCTCCAACCGATGGCTGGCCAGATGGCTCGTTTTAGCCCTCTGGCCCTCCAAGATTCTCCAAGATATTAATATTTTAATGAACAGTACAGGGCCATATTTGCCTCCGTCTCCAACCAAGGGCCAGAGGCCCAAAGGGCTCGTTTTAGCCCTGCCACAAAAAACTGTCTCCAACCGAGGGTCAAAGGGCCATAGGGCCAAACATAATTTATTATTAAAAACTACAACTTAAATTCAAATCCAACGGCTAAGTGACGTCAGCATGACGTCAACTAGCCGTTGGTAGCTGACATCATGCTGACGTCAGCTAGCTGTTGGATTTGAATTTTTCTTTTGCTATAAATAGGGTGGATATTGGGCTATAATTCACACAACTTTGAATTCAATTTTCAATTCAAGTTTGCAATGAATTCTAACTTTGGATCCTCTTCGGATTCCAACTGGGGGTCCTCATCCAATTCCAAATTGGAAGCAAAATGGGCGCAAATGAGACAAGAAGATGAGGAGTGTGATGAAGAAGTTCAAGTAAGACGCAACAAACAAAACATAGCAGTAGCCATGTTTTCGACGGAAGCTGGATAGAGCAGACCACCCTGGTTTCTCACCTCATTAGAAGGTTACTGTTGCACTTCGAATGATGGCCTATGGCTCCCCAGCTGATTCGATGGATGAAAACCCATGGTATGTCTGAGTCTACATGCCTTGATACTCTTCAACAATTTCGTGACACAATTGTTCAGGTTCACAAAGACGAGTACCTCCGTGAGCCAAATCAAGAAGATTTGAATCGGCTCATTCGCAAAGCTGAAGACTGTGGGTTTCTAGGCATGATATGGTCATTAGACTGCATGCATTGGGATTAGAAGAACTGTCCCATCGGATGGCAATGAGGCTTTAGCGGAAGGTCGAGAAAGCCAACTGTTGTGTTAGAGGCGGTTGCCTCATACGACACATGGATTTGGCATGCTTTCTTTGGAGTCCCTGGATCCTAAAATGACATTACAATTCTTGGGCGTTCACCCCTCTTCAATAACTTGACGGAAGGTAAAGCATCTCAACTTCATTACTACATCAACAACCGTCAATACAATATAGGGTATTACTTGGCAGATGGCATCTACCCAAAGTGGGCGACACTTGTCCAAGCAATTCCAAACCCTAGGAATGACGTAGAAAAGTTGTTTACCTTACACTAAGAGGCATACAAGAAAGATGTTGAGAGAGCTTTCGGTATTTTACAAGCACAGTGGAAGATTATTAGCGAACCGGCAAGAGAGTGGAGTTGAGAAAATTTGGACTCCATCATGATGTCTTGCATCATATTACACAATATGATAGTGGAGGATGAGCGAGATGAGTATATTGATGGAGAGTCCGATGATGACCAAGAAGATCCAAATAGGTCAAGAAGGGCTCGTGCAAAAATATATGATGGGCCTAATTTGCCTTTCAATCCAATAACTGGTAGTATCTCTATAAATGAGTACATGAAGCGCTATAGAATGATACGTTCTCGTGCCACAAACAAGTACCTACAACATGATATTGTTGCACATCTTTGGGCCAAAAAAGCATGGAGTAGGTGTTTAAGTTTTATGTTGTTAAATGTTTTTTAAAATGTTGTTTAAGTTTCATGTTGTTAAATGTTTTTTTTTTATGTTGTATAATTTGTATGTTGGTTAATGTTATTTAATGTTATTTCATATTGTTTAATGTTGTTTCATGTTACTTAATTTAGTTTAATGTTGTTTCATATTACTTAATTTAATTTAATGGCTTAGGAAGTTATAGGAAAAAAAATATAATTTAAAAAAATATGAAACAAATTTTGTGAAATAGAAGTTATAGGATAAAAATAGAATTTAAAATAAAATAAAGCAACTATGTGAAATAGAAGTTATAGGAAAAAATGGAATTTAAAAAAAAAAATGAAACAAATTTTGTAAAATAAAAGTTATAGGAAAAAATAGAATTTAAAAAAAATATTAAAATAGAAGTTATAGGAAAAATTTTGTAAATAAAAATAATAATAAAACTAAAAAATAATAAAAAAAAAAAATCAAATGCAACGGCTAGCTGACATCAGCTAGCCGTTGCATTTGAATTTTTTTCTTAAGCATTCCTGTCGGTTATAACCGACAGGAAAACTGAATTTTCTGGCCCGCCCCGGGCTGGTTGGCTGGCTGCAGCCAGCCCTCCAGCCCTCTCCGATTCCGTGGGACCCTCTCAGATTCCAGAGCCCTCTGGCCTAGCCCTCGGTTAGAAGCCAGCCAACCAGCCCTCTCTGATTCCGTGGGACCCTCTCAGATTCCAGAGCCCTCTGGCCTAGCCCTCGGTTAGAGACAATTTTCGAGCTATTTTCGGCCCTCTAGCCCTCTGAACTCTTCGGTTGGAGATGGCCTAAGCACAGAATTACTAGGCATAAAACATAAATATATATATATATTTTTTTGTAATAATAGTTGTGCTTGCTCTTGCTCATCCTTTTCTCTAATCAGTGGACTTACACAAATCCAATTACTATTTAGAGTGAATAGAAGGGCAATACTGCTCTTTCCCCCTAAAACTGGTGTAGATGCTCTAAGAAGCAAGCCAGAAAAGGATGCAATTGTCAACATAGTCCTGAAGCCTTGTGTGGTGTATATAGATTATTAGATTAAAATGAATAATCATTATTTTCAATGTACATTGCATGAAGATATGAAAAAATTGTTATCCAACTTGAAGGTAGAAGACAAATTAATTATTTTAAAGAAACAAATATGTTATTCTTACCACATATTTGTATCATCACGTGTGCCATCTCTTTAATAGAATTGGACCCATATGTGCTGGTAGACCCTATTTCTATTAGAGAGATGATACAAATGATAGTACAAATATGTGGTAAATGTAGCATTAATCTTTAAAAAAACTTATCAATTCTGATCCTCAAATGGTAGAATTAGAAGACACAAGTTCCATTTGTGTCTAATCCCCCCCAACATGAAACTCATCTAGCTCTAATATACCTTGAATTTTGAGAATTATTCATTCCAATCTAATTCTTAAAGACTAGACCACATATTAGTTACCACTTAACAAAGACCACCAATGACCAATCTTAGAAACTAATAAAATTATTTTAGGGAAAACAAATAAACTAAAGTATAAAAGAAAATTAAGATGCTTGCATATTGATACAACACCAATATGGATCGATCATGTAGAAAATATCTTTATCACGAACCATATTGATGACGACAAGATATTTTTGGTGAAATGTTGGACCACAAAATCTGTTAGTGAACAGTTAGGCTTTAATTGTTAACCAGAAAAAAAAAAAAAAAAAAAAAACAGCTGGTCATGATAATGAGACAGTGATCAGTAGACATCAATTACAACAACATTAGGATCCTTTTTAGCATTTTTCTTCATTAGGTAATTTTCTAACCTGTTGATGTTCTTTTTACTATAGTTTCTCGAATAATCTCAATGAAAAAAGCTACTTGGCTTTTCATATGGAAATTAATCTTTCATCCACTTGAGAAAATAATACTTTGATACACGTGCAAAACATTTTGTGTTCGTTATGTAATTTATTTGCGTATATTTGTAACTAAACAAGATATTAAAGTGATTTTCATCTCCAATGAAGCTTTAAAAGCTATTGATTGGATTCAGTGGAGGTGAAGCCAAGTTTACAAATAACCGTACCCATTCTGGGGTTATAAAAAGATGATAGAATAATTGAATATTTGGGAAATTTATAAATAAGAATCTAGGGTTATAACAAGGGAACCATAATCTAATTTCAAGAGTGACAAAGAAAAGCTTCAATCACCACCGAGTAATACTGTCTAGTCGTATTCCTGATCTTCACTTAGAAGTAAGAAGTCTTAAGTTCTATTCTTGCCAAAAACGAATTTAAGAATCACATTATTGTAAGCTCATTGTGAGACTTAACTCACCCTCTCTCCCTTATCGTTTGTTAAAAAAATAAACTAAAAAACAAAAACCAAAAAAAAAACCTTCAGTCAGATTTTGCCTTATAATCAAAACAGTTGAAAAAGGCAAATAATTCTTGCCCTGAGAAATTTGAGATACACGAACAAAATTACAGGATTTTCTAATGTACTCCTGAGAACCATAAAAATTTTGCAAAATTACACCCAAGGAAAATCCTAAAAGGTACAAGAGTTCGAAAATGATAAAAGGGAAAAAAACACTGTTATATTAAACCCCTGCCTCGAGGAAATAACTGTCATGCACAAAAACTTCGTAGCTACGACATCAAGTGCGACATTTCTAGCAAACAAGAATTACATGAAATACACGAATAAGCAGTAAATAGTACAAAGAATAACCTTCGATTCGTTAATATATACGGTGAAATTTGCAGCCAAGACAATGCTGAAGAACCCAACAGAATCTACAAAAGGTGACCTTGGAACAGGTAATGCCACCAGATCAGCTGACTAACACCAAACTCTAAGACATGGTAAGCATGGATAGAGCTTTGCCTTTAAAATCAGAATCGGAAAATTTTAAGCTAAAAACAAATAAATGAAACAATGCCAAGCAGCTCAAGTTAGTGATGAATTAGATCTTCTCACGTATCTACGCTGATAAGTTAGACAGATTCCGAACCATAATTTCCATCGTGGGTGTTGCCGTTTTCTTTACTCAGTTTAGATTTTGGTAAAGAGGCGGCTTGCCGAGGCGAAGTTTTGCTTGATTGAAGCTTCAAATTAAGGTAAGTGTAAACGGACATTCCGGCAATGGCTGTGAAAGCCCCAGAAATACTTGTCTTGCCTGGATTGGAACTAAAGAGGTAGTAATTTCCTAGAAGAATGACGCATGTTTTAAATTGACCAAGGACGACGTGTGTGACAGCAGATGTAGCCCTGCCAAAGAAGTAAAAAAAATCATGTCAAAACCAACAGAACCAAGCAAAATAAGATTTTCATGCTAAAACTCACCAAGTAAAACCAAAATTATGATGAACAAACATATAGCAGTCCCATGATGCATTACAACTACTTCGAACGGTTACAAACATCCAATGCCACAAGACAATGTTTAATATAGTTATGATTAGAATTGAAGTTTTCAGTCATTTGACATAACAGTCACATGCCAAAGTGCGTTATGATTAGAATTGCCGCATGAAGCCTAGCCTAGTGTGTTTGTGTCAATCTTGTTCCTGCGGGTAACATCCTCTTAAGTATCTATAAATTATGTTGGTATGTGTTTAATCCTCACACCTCTTCTCAGTAGTTGCTTACAGTGGATAAATATAACCTCCAATTGTTGCCCATTTTCAGCTACAGTTTGCACTCTTTAAAAATTCCGTTAATTATTGCTAGGTTTACAAGTGCAATGTTGCTGATATATTTTAATAGAATACCAAAAGAGAATTAGAAATTTGGTAAAAATAAATAAACCACCCAGAAAACTGACAGCGACTTGTGGCTACTGTGGTTGGGGAGGTGGGAGTTAGGAGTGGTTGTTATCAATTTTTTTCTTTTATTATTTATAATTCTATATTTTATTAATTTTGAATTAGATTTAAGAAAAGTAAGCAAAAATTGGATGGAGTCCCTTCAAATTCGACGGCAAGGGGTGAATTGGCCAATTTTTAAAAGTTTAAGTCCTTAATTTACGTAAAAATAGTTGAGGAGGTCAATTTCAACTAACATTATAGTTCAGTGGTCAAACGGCACTTTACCCCAGATTTAAAATTTGAACCGCTTTTGAGTTGTAGTATTGGAAGTAGTTTTCTACAATCAAATCAAAATATGTTAGGTTCTATGAAAATGATACCAGGGTTGACAGGGTATTCTTACAGGGAAAATGGTACCGGCAATTTGTACTTATGTTCATCAATTTGAGAGGTGACCAATTCTCGTTTTTAGTATCTCTGTATATACAAGTCATTTCTGATAGCATACTCGGTTTTCTAATGTAAAATGTAAACCGACGACATCAGAGGTCAAAACTCTTGTATCCTAAACAACGGAACCAAACAGGCCATGACATAGGATAATCAAAATGTAAAAAAAGATATCACATACCCAAGCGCTAGAGCACCTGACCACTGAAGCAAGAAGCCAAGAATAGCGGACATGAGAATTGCCAAGGTGTTGTTGAAGTTCCAATTGAAGGAGAGGGCACCAGGTGGATCTAACCACGGTATTAGTGCGACAAGGAAAAATAGAGTGATTGGCGTTGTCTTCCACATTAACCTGCTCAATGATTCGCATTTTAGTTACAATTCAATATCAAGGAGCTTCCAGTAGAAACTTAAGGGTTTTGAAAGGAGCTCATCACTTACGCTAAGGCTGTCCAATTTTCCTGCTGTTGCAAGCTAGACCAAAGAATTTTGTTGACTGCACTTGGTATTATCCATGCTAATGCTATACAAGCACCAAAGAGATGAAATTGAAGATCAGTGACTGTAGCCACGGCAACACCAATCGATACTACCGTAAGTGCTAGAACCTGAAATTTTCATAGCAAGGAGATAGAACAGAAAGGAGATGATGTTATAGATGACTTAGGTCAGAAATTTTGTATGAGAAGAACAATGAATAAAAAATGAAAAAAGAAAAGAATTAATCAAATTCCATGTGCATGGAACCTATACAAGCACCCTACATACTACTGTATCAAGGCCAAAAGAATTAAGTAAGCATTTTGATATGTATGCAAGATTTCCTCAATATCTCAAGAGATCTGAAATTCTGAAGTAAAACTTTTGAGAAACGCAGAAATGACGCCAAGAAACAATACACTCATGATGGACGCATCAACTCCAAACCTTTCTACTGATATAGTAAATTACTTCCATCAGTGGCTAATTCCTGGGTTTACAATCTAATAAAGTTTCCAAATAGCATTTCTTTCATAATCCGTCGGACAAGTTTGATGTGAGGTCTACATCCTCCTCATTTCAGAGTCTTAAGAGAAGAAAAAAAATATTGGGGATAGTGAAGACATTGTCCCAATTTTCAAAAACATGTAACCAGATATGATTAACCTTTTCAGCGACAAGTGGAACCGGACATGAATTGTATGGAAACATTCTGTTCTACAGTCTGCTAAAGCAATAACTCGGCCCGAATAGCAGGAATATAAAACTGTGCTTTATTTTCATCTTGACATGGCACTTATAGGCAAAAAAGAAAGGAGCTACCTTCGAGAAAGAAACTCTCTTGTTGTACAACAAAAATTCTGCGAGAACAATTGATGGCGTAACCGCAATCTTAGACATCTGATAGAACCCCACACTGAAGAAACAGATATTAAACTCAATGTTGAAAACATATATATAATTACGAAACAGATTCTGATGACCCTCGTAAAGGTAAGAATACTGATGAAACATCTCACCTATTATACTTCAAGCTAACATTAGCAAGGCCAGTAGAGAAAGCCATAACAAAGCCAAGAGTAAATAATGTAGATAAGCGGGTCGATTTTGAGGGACATGCAGGGAGGATAGATAGAGCATTTAGAATGGCCATCAACAACCAGCTTACCACATAGTGGATAAAGGTGAGAAATATAGGAAACTGGAACCCAACAACTTTGAGCACCTGAAGAAACACAAGCACATAAGTTAACAGCCGGAAAGCTGCTGTGTTAATATCCAGTCAGGCAAAATGTGGATAGATTAGAATATAGAGTTCAAAATACAAACCAATTTGTTCACGAAAATTATGCCGACAGCAATTACAAAATTGAAGGTAAGAGCAGTGGCAGGGCCACATCGCTGTTGTTGTTGACGCTTTGCACCATCGGCTGAGCGGAATTCATTAAAAAGGGTAGATCTTAAGTCTTCTAGAGCTCTTCCTGAGTTGATGTACAGAAAGATGGAGAAGAAAATAAACGATGTCATTAAGCAACACATTACAGATGTATAACTAATTCACATTTCCTAAAGAATCTAAGTCCAGTTATAATACGATATGGTTGTCCTAGTGACAGAACTTAACAAACTGTAAAACCTACTTACGAAAAATAACAAATGTCCATCCATACATTTTACTCATCATAAAAATAATGAATATGGTAGTCATTTATAATAAGGAACACCCATATGCACATTTCCAACTCAGTAAGAAATGAAACCATTAAGACTGGAAAAAGGATAATATAATTTTCTTTAAAAAAAAAAAAATAAATTGGATGAAATATGCTTACTGAAAATTTCACTGAGGAAAACCAAATCAAAACAAAATCAGTAAGCATAAAATATCTGAAGAAATTTATTGACTCGTTTTAAACCAAACTGCAATATAAGTATAAACTGCATCAACAAATAAGAGATCTGTGGGTCTAATTATTTCTTCCCAAGAACAACAATGGTGAAGATTTTTAATAAATAGCTCATGCAAATCAGTCTATGTAATCAAATAAGTAAACAGATATTAGAATCTGCAAACAAAAATGGTAAAACTCACATGCAACTTGTTGCACCCTTAAAACTGGATTCAATAAATTATGACTCACAAAAATGAGAAAACCAGATCAACCAAACAAAGTGACCCTTCATTCATAGCTGTGCCTAATCAAGTAAAGTTGTGAAATTAAGCTTATTGGATGATAAATACAATCACTCTAATGGGCAAAAATGTGAGGTTTACATTTCAAAAACAACAAAATCAAATAATTTGTTTTAAACTAGCTGCTAGCAGTGAGATTGGATTGGAATTTGGAATGAGAAGTGGCAAAAGTTACCTCTTTCACCAGCATCACTGTCCTTGCGCTTGAGAATCTTCCTAACGCCTTTCCTCACAAAGAAGTTTAACATTTTTATGGATACAAAGCATTAACCTTTCGATTTCTTTCACTCCCTCTCTCTCTCAGCAACAATGGTAACGGCTCTGTTTATGCGTTTGTAGAGAGAGAAAAAGAGAGAGAGATTGGAGAGAGAGAGAGAGGGTCAGGGCCAGCAGCACAGCAGGAGTACTGAGTTTGAGTTTGGAAGAGAAAAGACAAGGGTTTTAGGTAAAATGGCGTTTGTGAGACAGAAGAGAGACACGTGGGTGAAGTGGAGAGCGGTGATGGCGGAAATTTGAGGTTGTCTGATCGAGGTCGAGAGAGAGAGAGAGAGAGAGAGAGAGAGAGAGAGCCAAAAGAGATTGAGGAAATTACGCGTAGATCCTATCCCACCACTCCAGACCAGGGTACCGACAGTTTAGCAGTGTTTATTATGTTTTTTCCTTTTGTAAGGAAGGAAAATGTTTTGGTCAATTGTCAGGAAGGAATTTTGCCAATCAACGAACGTCACTTTATATCAACAAAATTTTAAAAAATTTGGGTAAGTTATAAAAAAGTATCTCAATTAGTGATCCAACTACAATGTCATATTTTATCTTTGAAATATTGTAATGTCATATTTTTCCGTACAAATTTATTATAATGTCAAACCTCCATCAGTTTGTCTGTTCATTTCTTAGCTAAATACAGATGTGAAGTTCTGTGGTGTCCCGCCACATAGTTTTCTCGTCAAAAAATTGTCCTGTTCATTTATGACGAGGACCTTCAAATTAGTTGGTGGGTTTGTGGGAGTTTGTTGAACATCTTTCTCCAGTTAAGCAGCTTCTTTGTTTCTCTTCTTCCTCGATTTTCCAAATTGCCTTTTATACAATGGAATCAAGATTGGTGAGTCATCAGTTTACTCCCACAAGAACATCTCTTTCATTACATTATCAAATGAGAATAAAACTCCAAGTACCATACCCTTGAATAGTAAGCACCCACATAAAGCTTAGGTTTTTGCCTCTTGAAATTGATTACAGCTATTGCATGGCTGTAAGGTGTTCTTGTCAAGCCATATTTTCTACAAGAGCAAGTCTTCTCAACCAAGTCAACCACATATTGATCCCCCACTCCAGTATCCACTTGAAATTTGGTCCCTCATGACCATTGTGTAATGTACTTGCCCCTTAAGAGTTTGGCTTCCTCCAACTTGTTCTTAATCTTAGGATAGAGATCTCCTACTTGCTCATCATTATATCTCGCCTAATTTAAATTCTTTTCATCAATATAGTGTGAATCATTTGTAGCATTATCACAATGGGCTTTTGCCTTGGCACTAGTATGACTGCATTGAAGGATTCACAAAGATTATTCAGAAAACATGCCACACTTTGGATGGGGTTCTCACACAGAATCGACCATTTTGGTTTACAATATTCACATCATCAGCCAACAGCTCTAAGAACCAACACCAAGAAGCCTTATTCTCCATTTCCACCACTGCGTTAAACAATAACCCATGTCTCATCATTTGGATCAATCCCCACAACACACAGCAACTGTCCTCCATGTAAAACCTTTAAGTGGCACCCCTCTAAACTCTCAAAGGTCTACACCTATTCTTAAAACCTTCTTTGCAAACCCCAAGTAAACATGTATTCTTTGGAACCTTAGCCCATCCAACTTCAACTTCACAGTGCTTCCAAGGTTAGGTTAGTTATCCTTACTTCCTCAGTAAAATCCCATAGTTTTGTGTATTGGTTTGCATGTTTGCCTTCAATAATCTTCAACGCCTTATCCAGTGCCTCATTAGCCTTCATCCTTGTCCACCCATGATTCCACTCGGAATCCGCAATGGCTAAAAATGAATCCATAGGCTATGTGGAATTAAGCTTTATCCGATCCAAGTACAATCTGTCAACAAATGAGACCTTAAATTCTCATTCACCCAAGTCCTCCTACAGGTGTGGTGATCAAGTATTGTCTTGATTTGTATGTTGTTTCATCCATGCATCTTTCCAGCACCACATATCCAAGGATAGTATTGAATTGCACACTATCTCTGAAAATAAGGCCTAGTGTAAGTTGTGGATTATTTATGTTTGTTTTCTCATTAAACTTTGGATAATGCTCTCTTTTTTTGCCTCATTCCTCATCTTCAGAGTGTAGACTCTCTAAATCATCAGATTTAGCCTTATTCCTCATCTTCAGAGTGTAGACTCTCTAGATCATCAGAATTATAATTTGGTTCATGAACACTCACTAGTCCATGAAACAAATTCACTTCCCCATCTCCATCTTCTTCAACCTCTTATTGCCTTTGGCGAGACTTGAACCTAAGACCTCTCACTTACAAGTGAAGAAGAATACCATTAGACCGTTGTACTAAATAGCTACTACAATTAATTCAAAAGAAAAAAAACCCTCACTAGAGTTGGTCTTAGCATAATTCAAAAGGAAAAAACCCTCACTCGACTCTCCACACCGAACTATCCTTCCAAAACCCCATACCCAAAAAGCCGACTTGTACAAAATGCCTCCAAAATCCGAGACCCTGCCTCCATCCACCTCCATTGACCCAATTCTCCTCATCCTCGGATTCTCCGCTATAGCTTCCTCCGCGTGCCCCGACTCCGCCTCAAGCTCCCAACCATAACCATCCCCTCACCCTTGACCGTCTATGCCCTTGTCCTCCTCCCTTACTTTCATGGTCGTCTTGGCATCGTCTACGACGTCATCATCGAGCCCCCGGGCATCGGATCAACTCAGGACCACCTTCTTCCCCGACCGGGTCAACGGGCAGTACATAAATCGAATGTCTATCTTCCGGGTTCATGTTCGTTCTGGGTGGGATCGGCATTGTGCACATGTACTTGCCTGGGATCGAAATGGTGCAAAAAGTGTGATGGTGTCGTATGCCACTGCTGGGATTTCCTCTGTAGTTCTCGCCTATGTTATGAGTATGCTGTTTATTCGTATCAAGATCCCAGGTTATCTTTATTAAATAGTAAATTAGCAGCTAAATTTCAGTTTCACATTCCATTTGTGAATCTCAATTATGGTTTATTTAAACTATGATCATACTTTGATATATCTATATGGTTCATGATTCGCCTGTTTCCGATTTGCTTTCGTTTCTTGCTTGTTTGTTGATTGAAGAAGCATGCTTTATGTTTATGTGCTTTCATAACAATAATGTTTGCCCTGCAACTTAAAGAATGGTAATTTTAATGCAATTGAAGAAACGCTAAAACTTAGGCAACTAAGGGGCGGGAGGGGTCAATTAACCCTCCCAACTTTGGCAAACCTCCATGGAAGATCCAAGTGTTGCCCTATTGAAGCTTAGAGTTGACCTTGAGATATGCCCTCCAACTGCTCGATTTAATGCCTCAATGAACATTGCACAGGGCAGGGCATTGTGTGCAGCGTGGGTGAAGGTTACAACGCGCAGCTCCCTTGCTTCTGATACAAAGTCTCTTTTGCTGCTGATGCACAACTTTGCAAGCATCTAACCCAGGTCATTTTATAAGATTTCTTAATAATAAAACCTGGCCACTTAAAAATTAAAAAAGAACTTATGCCTCTAGTCGAGACATATATAAACCCAACTCTTTATAATCCTAATTTCTATCAAATCCTAACCCAAATTCTAGATCTTTAAAATTCCAATTTTCCTTGTATTAATAATGTAGCTATGATACGACATTTCAAAATATGGAACTGCATCGTGAACAATTGTTGTTTGTAGTAAAGTTATTTATTTCATGAATTATGAATGATGGAGTTATGATTTAATTTTTAAGTCTATTTAATTGTCTAAGAAATGTTTTGTGACCCCCAAACAATTTCTCTAGATCTGCCATTGACCGAAGTACCCCTCATTTTCTAGATTATTTGCTCTTGATCATATCATATCGATACTTCACTATCATATCCATGTTAACACTTGATGCAGAGTATGAGTTTCCTAGTTTACGTGATGCTTATAGGATTGTTAAGGAAATGAATTAGCAAAATAAGGTGTGTCAGAAGAAAGTGTATACCTCTCATGCATATTTGAGGGAGGCCAAATCCTTGAGTGCTAGGGTTCCTTGCATCTTTTATAGGAAACAACAATTAGTGGTAAATGAAAACGGAGGAAGGGTTCTCTAACACTCTTAGCCTTGTTGTACCTGAATCATTAATGCTTATGTGATCAGATTTCGATGAATAAAAATATATGAATACTTTGTGTGATTAGATAACTTGTCAAGATTTAGGTTTCCAACTATGTAACATTTTTAATTGAAGAATTTTTTTTGTTTACTATTGTTCCAGACAGTTCTATAACCTTTTTTTTTTCTTTTAACTTGGTGGAGTCTATTCCATATTGTATATGTACCCTGTATCCATATCCATGTTTCCTGGTGTCTAAGCAAGCTGCTGCTGCTGCTTATTTAAAAGTTCGGACATTCTCCATAGCTATTACATTTGATTTCCATTGTCCTCAAAACTTATACCTCTATGGCCTACAGTGTCACCTTGCTCAGCGATGAATTGTTCCTATTTCATGAATAGTATTTAAATTTCTTGAAATCAAGGAAATATATGGCACAGTTCATTGCTAATGCAGGGTAATTGCTTTCTTAGTTCCTCATGAGAGAAATGTGCAGCCATTGGATGCCTCTCATACCTGTCCTTAGGTCAAGCTGAGGGCTATGGTCTGAAGAAACTTTACCTGTTTTCACATTTTCAACGGTTTTTTTTTACTCTTTTTTATTTATTTATTTTTTTTTTACAAATGATAAGATAATCTACAATAAATTCATGTAAACTACAGAGAGGAGTAATCATATAGGGAACTGCAAGTGCACGGACGAATGTTTTTAACCAACTGAGCTACAAGCCACTAGCAAGTAAAATTTAACACACAAAAAGAACAAGTAGAAGCATCATAACCTATATGAACTCTCCTCGACTACCTTACCCTCACTTTCATCTAGCAGATAGACAATCAACTAGAAATTTCCATGTTGAGATTTCAAAAGAGAATATGTGACAACCCATTCCTACTTTCACGATTTTATTAATTTTAAAAGACTGAATTGACGAAAATGCCCTTCGAGCAGAGATTGTCGACTTTCATAGACCGTTATTTTATGATGTGTACAAGTTACTATTTTACCGTATTCTCAAAGTACTCGATGATACGAATGCGTATGCGCAAACGGAAG